GATTCAGCAAAAATAAGGTCATAGATATAAAGAATTGCTTTTTAAGTTATCTGAAATCCCTGAAAGTTATTCTTTCAAAATGAAAAGTATAAATCATAATAAGATTTGCAAAAGGCTATTTCTATTTTATATTAAGTGGTCTGCAATTTGAAATAAAAACATTCCAATAAGTGTACCTAAAATATTTTATGACTTATCATTAATTTTAAAATAAATGTGTCAGCAAAAATACCCTGGAAAAAGAAAGCAATGCTTGAGGAAGGAGTACTGTGGGTTCCTTTCCAGTTCAATAGCACTGCTTACAAATGAAAGAATTCATTGTCTTCCCCACATATCCAGGAGAGACAGCACTAGCAATTCAATGATAAGGACTGGTTTAAATATGATCTAATGAACTAAATATAATTCTGCCCATTATTGTTAGGTTGCTTTATTTCAGGGTTGAGTTGGAGGCGTTTATCCAGCTGGCCTGTCTGAGAGATGACAGTTTAACCTGCTGAAGATTTTGCCTCTGTGATTCTGACAATTTCTTTGTAAGAATGGGGTCTTAACATTGAGGGTCTTTCTTTCCCAAAAACACAAGGTCTTCTGTTTTGTACAAATATAGAAATAACGATTTTCTTTTAAAGTGATTTAAGTGTATGCCTTAAATGGTCATCTTAAGTAGTAACTATTTAAATTGTTATTTAATAGTTGTATTTTTGTTGAAGAAGTTTAAGGGATTTGATTTCTTTTGTACAGGGATTTTTCAGTGCTCATAAAACTTCTGTAAAACATAAAATGATAAATAGTTAAGAAGTTCCTGTTAGAACAATAGGCTATTTCCTTTTTTTTTGGTTCATTTGTCGTCCTTGTTGATTGACAGAGTCTCCAACTGTTTTCAAAATTATTTGTCTCAAAGCACTTCAGATTAATACTATATAGAAAAGTGCATTTCATTTAAACTTCATGAGTTTTGTAAGCAAGAACATACTAGGGAAGTGAGACTATGACTATTCTCTCCCAATTTACCCTTTTCCCCTTTGCCCCACTTCAACATCTGGAATGATTGTGAGTAAAACAGAATATACATATTAGTTGGCAGCTCAGTAACTCAGTTCCTTTGACTCTCTGGCCTCTAATTTACTTGGATGGGGAAATAACCAAAAAAAAAAAAAGTCCTGCTGAGAATCTCAGATATGGATAATGGGTCCTTACCAGACCAAAAAACAGACTTTCATGAGTTTTATCAGTAGTGTGTGTGGGTTTCTTTTCTTCCTCCTTTTTTTTTTTTTCCTTCTTCCTCTGGCAACAAACCCCATACTGGGATCTGACGTTAAAGTATTTTTTTTAAAGCATATTTAAACTCTCACACACTTTATGTAATGAGGATTGCAGTGTAGGATTTTTCTACAGGATACCATTTGGTCCTACTAAGAATTTTCTGCTCAAATATTGGAGCAGTTGATTGAAAAATCCTCCTTGTCCTTTTGTAAGGTAAGTCATATGGTTTTTTTAATATAAAAAAAGACCAAGGGATTTTTTATCTCCCAAATGATGACGGATGACACTGCTATATAAGTACTCTAAGAAATTATACAAAAACAAAACTATTAACTGTTTTCTTAAGTCAGTAAGCTTTACTTAAAAATCAGGTTTGTGTTGTTTTCCAAATTATCAATCTTCCTATATAAAGTATTAAAACACTGTCCAGTGGCCAATGACATTTCACTTCTTGATGTTTAAAATCTTATGTTTATCTGTAAACATTTATTTGTTATAATCCAATTTGGATCATTGTAAAACTTACATTGTATACTTAGGCTGTTCGTTTATGATTTTTAATTTACAGTATGAATGAAGATCATTATAAATGAAGATCAATATAGTGAAATTTAGTTTTTATAGATGATCTGCCACACTTGTGTTAACATGTTTTCTAGTATGCAATTGCTAACTACTTATTTACAGAATCATTATCTTATTTAATTTTAATCTGCCCTGCATAATTTTTGGTGAGACTGACTTTGCTTATATGGTTAGTGCAATGTGTGTTTTGGATATGTTCTTATTAAGTATTTTTTTTAACTGAAACAAGTATATTTATAATTGCCACTGGGAATGGTAAAAAGAAAAAAAATAAAAATCAAACCCATTGCCTTTGAATTGATTCTGACTCATCGTGACCCTATAGGACAGAGTAGAACTGCCCCGTGAGGTTTCCAAGGAGCAGCTGGTGGATTCAAACTGCCGACCTTTTGGTTAGCAGCTAAGTTCTTAACCACTGTGTCACTGGGAATGGTAGATTATATTAATTCTAAATAAAAATCCTGGATTTAATTAATTAGTATAAACTAGTATAAAATTTGATAGCAGAATAAAAATAAACCAAAATTAATGTTTTTAGGTATTTAAGAAGCTTATTAATGATTTGGGGTATTTAAGGTTATTACAAACATCAGTAATTATTTTAAATGATGCTACTGAGTTTAAATAAAAAGTAAATCGTTCTGGAGAAATTAACTGAAAGGCTCAATTTAATTATAGTATGTGAATTTGTAAATAATGTAAATGGCATAAATTATCTAGAATAAAATTTCAAACGGTCTCTAGAATTATTAAGTAACATAAGATTGTTTTTAAAGATTTTAACATACTTTTCAATGTTTTTCTATGTGGTTCTAAGTCAGAAATATCTTTTGACTCAAAAAGAAAAGATTGATTTAAATATTGGTTCATAAGATAACAAAAATGGAATATTTTAAAATTTGTTTTATGGTCATAGTCCAGTGGGCTACTGTACTATATGAGAGAAAAAATATATAGGGATTTTTTTCATCCACCAGAAGAGTTATTTTACCAAAACAATGAATCAAATACACAGCCATCAGGTAACAGAATAGCCCAGGAGGAATGTTGTAATTACAATTGGGAGATCCTTGGACAGAGTGTACTCAGATTTCCGGAATTTACCTCGGAAGTTATAGTTACCGCCCTTATTTTTTACAGAAGTTTTTGGCCATGCATTTTTTTGCTTTTTCTTTTTCCCCTCAAGGAACTCATTCTGTAACAATTTTCTGGTTTAATTCTGACATGTTTTATTTCATTGCCCCAATATATGGCTAAAACTTTCAAGTAACAATGTTCTATGCTAATAGCTGCCTTTCCATTTGCCTGATATTCTAAGGTTCTAGAAAATCTCACCAGATTTTTTTTGTAATTTAAATGTTCTACAAATAATCATCTCTATTTATGTAAAATGTGCACACTTACTAAATTTTTTGAAATGACACTTTATTTAACTACCATGAAATACCATTTCACTGTTATGTTATGGTTTAATTTTCCTAATGAGATTTTATAATTTACCCTTTCTGCTTTGGCCCCCGTTCAGCATCTGGAACAATGATTGTGAATAAAACAGAATATATTAGTGGCAGCTCAATAATTCCCTTTGTCCCTCTGACCTCTGACTTACTTGGATGAGGAAATAACCAAAAAAAGAAAAGTGCTGCTGCAGTATTTCAGATACAAGTAATGGGTCTTTACCAGACCGTGTATTATATAGTTTAATTTTATTTAACACTTATAACCTTATTTTATGTGTCATGTACTCATGTCAGAGAAAACTGAGTCACAGAGAAACTATGATAAGATGGAGAATTGAACCTAGATCACCTTGACTTTAAAGCCCAGACCTTAACCACTGCAAAACTTATGGTATCTTTCTGTTTATAATAGAATTCTGGATGGAAAAAAAAATTGTATTTCTTGTCTAAGGTTCATAGATAATCCTATTTAAACCAATGTGACTCTAAGAGAATCATTTCAAAATTGTAGTAATCCTTGATTCATAAGCCTCCAAAATGTGGACTTATTTCTAGAAGGATTTGTAGTATAATATAAGAGCTGGAAATGCACATGTAAGTAAATCAAAGAATTGTGGTAACTTCAGGAAGATAAGATATTGGAGATTTCCCAATTCAAAGTTTTCGAAACTTCTCTGTATAGCCTTTGGGCTCTGTGGGGATATAACCCAGAGCCCAAGTGAGATGTGACTAAAAGGGAGAAGGGGCAATTTCTGCCCGTTTCTTTTACCAGAATAGCTTTTCTTTAAATAGTCTTTATATATTGGGATTGTGTGTAAAATTTCATTGAAAAGGAGAATTCTATCCCTAAAGAGGTGTCTGAAACACAAGAATCTAATGACTTTCTGTTTCCAGATGATGAAATAATCAGATTTAAATGATTGATTTGCACCTATTTAGGCTAGCATGGATTCAAATCCACATCTTTTTAATATCTAGGCAACCATGACTTCGTGAACACACATGGATATGGTGTAGGGTGAGAGTATGAAAAGAAATTTAAATTTTAAAAGGTAACATCTATCACTCATTTTCAACCTGTTGTTGACAACTCCACAAATTGGGTTGTTGGGAAGATGCAGTATTTGTTAGGTGGGGAGCATTTTTGTATTCCTACCCTGAATATGACTTGGTTCACAGTATGTAGAACACCAGCATGATATTCTCTATTTAGCAATAGTAGTGGCTGTTTAAAAAAAGTATGTTGCAATAACGTTTTAAGGTGCTTTACAATTGTGTTTTGCAAAAGAATGACAGTGTGTGGAAAGTAGAAGCATGTAATCTGATTTTCTTTCTTGAGGACAAGCAGAAGGAAAGCTTGTGGATAAAATAGAAATTTTAGATATCTGGTTATTAGTCAGAAAATGTCAGTCAAGTCATGACACTTGTTTATGGTACAAGTACCCTGGAACTCTGAAACTTCTTCAAGTTTAATAGTTCACATCCCAGGAAATTTTTACCTCTGGACCATGCCTTTTCTGGGTGGAGTTTCCCTGGGAACATAGCTTTATCCACACATGGGAATAATTATAGGTTGTCTGGGAATTTGCTCTGATGTCCTAGCCTATTGGACAGGCTTCTTATAGTTCAGCCTACCTCAGGGCTTGGTTAAAAAAAAAAAAAAAAAAAAAAAAAAAAAAACTCAGTCAATCAGTTTCTAGCAGGTTCCCAGCTAGTGCAAGGGCATAATGCTCAAAAGATCAGGCTAGAAACACCCTGTGGATTTGACGGCAAAGAAACAGAAAAAGTTCTATTCTTCCTCCTCCTTTCAAAGACAGCCCAAGGGAATAGAAGCCACTCACAAATTCTACTAAAGAAGTAAAATTTATAATCTATAAAGTGGATAGAAAACAACTGGTTTACCTGTATGATCAAGAAAGGTATGTGATTAGTGCCACTTTTAAACATGCTTTTTATTTTCCCTTTCTTTTTTATACAAGTCTCAATAATTTAGTTTTCTTTCCTGTGCTTGTGATTGTTCTTTGTCTTCCAAGTTTAAGTACTTTAAATAGGCAGTAAATTTTTACAGATATCAACTTCTTATAAAGGACAAATAATTTGTTAAAAATAAAATTTTTCACAAAATTAGCAAGGAAAATATATTACCTATTTTAATATGTAAGGATCCATGTTATATAAGAAAACCAATACATAAATTTTGCATATTCTAACAAGCTAAATTAAAGAGAAGAGTAGAGACAAACTACACTTTTTCTTTGAAGGAAACATGGGTAGAAAAGTTGTTGAGTAGAATGTATTGTGTAACCTGAACTTTTCTCTTAAGGCACTCTGTGCATGTCTCACGCAATGTGTTTGGCTCTCCTTTACCTCCGGTGAATAAAGCTAATTATAATTTTGTAGTATGCAACATAAGGATAAAGTGTGATTATAATAGCAATACTTAATTACTCATGGTGACAAGGCATTGAAAGATAATAAATGAACCGAAGTAATATCAAATAATCTTACCTCATCTTAGCAAAATATGTTAGAAACTTATATCAAGATAATAAAAATGAATCACCCAGTTGTAAATTTAAACAAGTAGACAAGATCAATTTCTTTCTCAAAAATATCAGACCATGGATGAAGTAATGTTAAATTAGTACTTGTAACTTTGCTTATATATAAAATGTAGACCAACATTAGACTAGTAACTTTCCAACCATATGATTCAACAGAATAAATTACTCGACACTTTTATTTTCTGATGAACTTGACTTTGACTTAACAGCAGTGGGATGTGTGTACTATCTTACTTCAATATTAAGTTCAAAGCAGAGACTAGACAGTACCCAGGGCTCTTTATTGCTCAGTAGATGTCATAATAATGTGCTTTCAGGTTAGAGAGGGAGGCATTGGAAAACGTGCAACTCCCGTGGTTCTCCAGTGCACATTCTCAGGACTCTCTGCCCCTTGCAGTAACTCTTTCCTGTAGTACATGGAGCTGCTTAAATAAATGACACAAATTCTGGAAAAAGATAAATGCACCACTAGGTTGTGATAGGTGGAACCCTGGTGGCCCAGTGGTTAAGTGTTATGGCTGCTAACCAACAGGTAGGGAGTTCAAATCCACCAGCCGCTCCTTAGAAACCGAATGGGGCAGTTCTACTCGTCATATAGGCTCATTGTAAATCGGAATTGACTCGATGGCAACAGGTTTGGTTTTTGGTTTAGCTTGTGACACAGAGTCTGGAAAGGGACCAATATATACACATATAGCTATTTTAAAAGCAATAGAGTTATCATTTTTTAATCATTTTATGTCCCATCTGTTTTTAGAGTGACAGATGACATTAATATTGACTTTTTATTGAAGATTATGTAGAACATACAATAACTTTCCAAAATAGATCAGAATTAACCTTAGAGTTGTATCTTTTTTGCATAGATTCATTAAAAGACTGAAATTTGACACTGGGTATAAGCTGCCTCTTCTTCGAAACACTGCCCAGTCCTGTGCCAATCCTCACAGTTGTTGCTATCTTTGAGCCCATCATTACATCCACTGTGTCAGTCCATCTCATTGCGGATCTTTCTTTTTTTTTTGTTGACCCTCTACTTTACCAACCATGATGTCCTTCTTCAAGGACTAGTCCCTCCTGATAACATGTCTGGAGTAAGTGAGACAAAGTCTCACTATCCTTGCTTCTAAAGAACATTTTGACTGTACTTCTTCCAAGATAGATTTGTTCATTCTTCTGGCAGTCCATGGTATATTCAGTATTCTTCACCAACACCATAATTCAAATGCATCAATTCTTTGGTCTTCCTTACTTATTGTCCAGCTTTGGCATGAGGTGATTGAAAATACCATGGCTTGGGTCAGGCGCACCTTAGTCCTCAAAGTGACATCTTTGCTTTTTAATGCTTTAAAGAGGTCTTTTGCAGCAGATGTGCTCAATGCAATAAGTTGTTTAATTTCTTGACTGCTGCTCCCATGGGCATTGATTATAGATCCAAGTAAAATTAAATGCTTGACAACTACAATATTTTCTCCGTTTATCATGATGTTACTTGTTGGATTTGCTGCAAGTATATTTGTTTTCTTTATGTTAAGGTGTAATTCATACTAAAGGCTGTAGTCTATGATTTTCATAAGCAAGTACTTCAAGTCCTCTTCACTTTTAGCAAGCAAGGTTGTGTCATTTGCATATTGTAGGTTATTAATAAGTTTTCCTCCAATCCTGATGCGCTGTTCTTCATATAGTCTAGCTTCTCTGATTATTTGCTCAGCATATAGATTGAATAGGTATGGTGAAAGGATACAACCCTGACACACACCTTTCCTGACTTTAAACCACGCAGTGTTCCCTTGTTCTGTTTGAACAACTGCCTCTTGATCTATACAGGTTCCTCATGAGCACAGTTAAGTGTTCTTGAATTCCCATTCTTTGCAATATTATCCATAATTTGTTATGATCCACACAGTCGAATGCCTTTGCATAGTCAATAAAACACAGGTAAACATCTTTCTGGTATTCTCTGCTCTCAGCCAAGATCCATCGGACATCATCAATGATATCCCTCGTTCCACGTTCTCTTCTGATTCTGGCTTGAATTTCTGGGAGTTCCTTGTCATATACTGCTGCAATCACTTTTGATTTATCTTCAGCAAAATTTTACTTGCATGTGGTATTAACGATATTGTTTAATAATTTCTGCATTTGGTTGGATCACTTTTCTTTGGAATAGGCATAAATATGGATCTCGTACAGTTGGTTGGCCAGGTAGCTACCTTCCAAATTTCTTGGCATAGATGAGTTAACGCTTCCAGCATTGCATTCATTTGCTGAATCATTTCAGTTGGTATTCTGCCGATTCCTGGAGGCTTGTTTTTTTGCCAATGCCTTCAGTGCAGCTTGGACTTCTTCCTTCATACCATCCATTCTTGATCATATGCTACCCACCTGAAATGGTTGAATGTTGATCAGTTCTTTTTGGTATAGTGACTCTGTGTATTCCTTCCATCTTCTTTTGTTGCTTCCTGCATCATTCAATTTTTTTGCCGATAGAATCCTTCAGTATTGCAACTTGAGGCTTGCATATTTTGTTCACGTCTTTCAGCTTGAGAAATGCTGAGTGTGTTCTTCCCTTTTGGTTTTCTAACTCCAGGTTTTTGCAGATTTCATTATAATACTTTACTTTGTCTTCTCAAGCTGCCCTTTGAAATCTTCAGTTCAGCTTCATCATTTCTTCTGTTCACTTTATCTGCTCTGCTTTCAAGAGCAGGTTTCAGTCTCTTCTGACATCCGTTTTGGTCTTTTCTTTCTTTCCTATCTTTTTAATGATCTTTTGCTTTCTTCCTGTATAATGTCCTTGATGACATCCCACAACTCGTCTGATCTTTGCTCATTAGTGTTCAGTGAATCAAATCTGTTCTTAAGATGGTATCTAAATGCAGGTGGGATATACTCAAGGTCATACTTTGGCTCTTGTGGACTTGTTTTAATTTCCTTCAGCTTGCAACTTGAACTGTCTGATGATATTGACCTTCTCCATCATCTCTTTCCACAGATCTAGTCAATTTGATTCTCTGTGTATTCCGTCTGACAAGGTCTACATGAATAGTCGCCATTTATGTTGTTGAAGAAAGGTATTTGCAATGAATAAGTCATTGGTCTTACAAAAATTTATTACGTGATTACCAGCATCGTTTCTATCACCAAGGCCATCTTTTCCAACTACCAATTCTTCTTTGTTTGTTATGTTTGCTTTCCCATCACCAGTAATTATCAGTGCATCTTTGATCAATTTCAGACTGCAGAAGTTGGTAAGAATCTTCAATTTCTTCATCTTTGGCATTAATGGTTGATGCTGTAATCATAGTCACTCTGCCTTCTATGTAAGGTCTTGTATGCAAGAACTTGAATGAATAAGGGATTCAGTTACTTGAATTAAAAAATACTGATGTTGAATTCAAATTCACATAAAAAGACCAGACTTAACAGTCTGACAGAGATTGCGAGAACCGCTGAAACTATGGCCCCTGGACGTTCTGTTAATCCAGAACTGAAATCATTCCTGAAACTCACTCTTCAGACAAAGATTAGACAGGACTATAAAACAAAAAACAATACATTCAAGGAACATGCTTCTTAGTTCATTCAGGTATTTGAAACCAGTTGGGCAGCTCCTATCCAAAAGCGGGATGAGAAAACAAGAAGAGACAGGAACTTGTCAAATGAACACAGGAACCCGAGGTGGAAAGGGGGAGTGTGCTGCCACATTGTGGGGACTGCAACCAATGTCACAAAACAATATGTGTATAAAGTTTTGAATGAGAAATTAACTTGAGCTGTAAACCTTCACCTAAAGCACAATTAAAAAGAAACAAAACAAACTACTGATGTCATTTTAGCATCCCATTTTAAAATGAGGAAATTGAGGTATATTCAGGTTAAGTGACTTGCCTGCCAATGGTCACATGGCAAGAGAGTGGCAGATAAGTCTTTGGTTCACTCTCAAATCTGGATTACATTTGGTTGGATTCCATATTTTTATTGTTATCTGAAGTATAACTTTAAGATTAAGGTGTGGGGGTCTCTGAAATGGACATTCATTAAAGTATTACATAATAAACTATCCTGAACATGACTATTGGTTCACAATATATAGAACACCAGAATGATATTCCCTATTTAGCAGTAGTAGTAGTTGTTTAAAAGTGTATGTTACCAGAAAATATTAAGGTGCTTTACAATTACATTTTGCAAGGGAAATTCTATTTTATAATATGCAGTTCTCTAGCTGCTTTGTCAGCCTAAAAGTACTTCTTCCACTGCAGTGTGGCAACCCTGACCAAAGCCATAGAAGGTAGCATATGTTAGATGATTTCAGAGGACAGGGAAAGCTATTCTTCCCACTCCACCCCAAACTATTAATGAAAAGCCAACCCCACTTGCCCAGTGATACATGAAAGTCCACAAGAAAAGCAAGTAATTTGTTTAGGTTTATGTGGGTTTTTTTTTTACATTAAAAAAAGTGAGACTAGTGAAATAAGTTTGTTAGTCACCTGGGCCTCAGTGTAAATGAGTTTATTGCCTCCTGTGTTTTATAGTGGAAGCATCCTAGATATAAGGAAGTAGGTAAAGAGAAATCCCAATGGGTAAGAAAGCATACAAAAAATAAATAAAATTGCTGAGGTTAAATTTTGTAACATTCATTTTTCTCCATTTGGAAGAATAATCTTATTTTTTATGTTAACATTGTTTTCTTAGCTGTGCATATAATACTTTTGAAAAACTAGGTGGCTCCTCAATTATAAATAAACTCATTGGAATGATATTTCTGTTGCAACAAAACTAGAAGGGACAAATATATTTTGGATGCCATATCAAAATATATTTTATATTATTACTCTTACAGTTTTCACAGAAATATTCTGGTGTGCCTCTTTTTCACCCATAGCATTCATTCTCTTGACATCTGTGCTTTTCTTGGCTGTGGACATTTTGAAGTAGGAAATATTTGTTTATAAGCTATAAAGCACATTATGAGCATTTACCAATGTCAGGTCAACCCCATTTAAAAAAAGTGTTGTTATAACCAAAGTAGCTCAAATGAGTGTACTTTCAAGTGTTGGTCAGAAGTAATAAATTCTCATCAATTTTATTACAGCAGAAACCACTCATTCCATAAATTGTTTTCTTTATGTAATAAACACACACTATATAAAGATACCAAACATGAGGACTGACTAGGTGAAACACATACTAGCACAAGCAGGTTCCTTTTGACAGTTGTCATGAATTGACTGCACATGTCAAAATGGACGATGCACTGTTACAGTTTACTATTTAAACAAAAACCTTTGACACTAGTAAGAAAACTGCCTAGCATTAAAACTGCTCATTTTCTACATTTTCTTCAAATGCCGTACACCTCTGGCATATCCAAAATCAAGTATTAACAATGAAATTGACATTAAAGCATAGTTTTTAAAAATAGTTCATTGTTCTGAACGATGTTTATAAAATGTAGATACAATTCGGACGTGAACTTTGTATTCACGATACTGAGATTTTCTTTTATCAATGATTATAATTAGGTTAACAATAGAGACAGCTAATTTTATGATAGTGCATTTCCCCAATTTTCCCCTGCTTTTTCTTTTAACAGGTGTTTTACAAACGATTAGAAGAACTGATTTTTTCTGAGAATCATTGTCTGCGAAATTGATATCTTGCTATTTAGTCCTAAAGAAGGTATAGTAAAGAAAATGCCTGTTAGCATACTTGCTTAGCATTTAGACTGAGAAGACGTCAGTCAGTCCACCCATGTCTGATTTGCAGTAAACCTCCAGTCAGAGTGTGGTCGACTGTGTTTGGGAGGAGAGCCCAGATAGAGGGTGAAGATGCAGCTAGGCATGTAAGGCTGAGAGGAAGTGATATAAGGGTGCGAGTACAAGCACACATGGTTCTACTTAGAGGAGATTTCAACATGTTAATCATCCATATAAAGAAAGTTCAGAAGAGAGAATTGTAAAGAAGTACTCTATATGGCAATATATACTATTTCTGCCACTGCTACATAATTAAAAGTAAGAAAGGGGAACAGGATCTAGAAAGTCACTTTGCTAAAACAAAAAGGAAAGCATTTGTTTATTTAGAACTGTCAAAATAATCTTTTAGTTGTGTGTTTTCTTTGTACTCCGATCTTTTCGTACTGATATTTAGCTTCTGTTTTATGATCTCTTTCTCTTTCTACTGATAGAACCAGACCTCTTGGAAACCACTTTAATCAGACCTAAGAGTTTGAGAGAAGCAGGTGCTGAACCTTAATTTGTCCCCTGAACAAGAAAAATGGGCTGTGATCGAAACTGCGGGCTCATCGCTGGGGCTGTCATTGGCGCAGTCCTGGCTGTGTTTGGAGGTATCCTAATGCCAGTTGGAGATATGATTATTGAGAAGAAAATTAAAAAGGTACAAGTTGCCTAAAAGATATATCTTGTTATTCGGATTCATTCTGCTGTCTCTGTTTTACTTTTAGTTCGCATTTTGCATTTCATGATGATTTGTAATTTTTTATCAACCGCTGCAAGTCTAAATGGTAGAGAAGTGAGCACCCATGAAATGTACAAGTAGAATGTACATTTAACAAGAATACATTGATATCTTAAGTATAAATATCTAAATTCTGGGGGAAAAAACTATTTATAGGTATATATATTAGTACAAATAATAGCTTTTTATTATGTCCAAGGAGTAGATTGATGTCGTTTTCAGTAAGAAGTATTTTGTGAGGGTACATTTATAAAAATAGTAGCAGTTTGGCTAATACTGAAGAAAAGTAAAATCATATTAAATATGTATATAAAATTTAAGCATCATTGTCATGTTTAATATTGGTAAAACCGGTAAACTTTTTTTTTGTTTAGTAAAAACTGCTTTTTATTAATTGTAATAATCTATGATTGTCTCATGAATGTTTCCTATTTATGAAGCTTTATATTTGTCTCTTAGAAAATAAATTAGGACAACCCAGTAACATGCTACAAATTGACTATAGTTTTAAATAAAATTAGATTGATTCAATGTATATGCTTTGCATAACAAACTAGACTCCATCTCCTACCCCAGTTCCTGATTAGCTTCACACTCTGTCGCTAGAAACTTTTATTGATGAGGAGGCGGAAGAATAGCATAAGGGGAGGCAGATCTGCTAAAGTCATAAACCAAGGATGGCAAATTCAAATGGCTTCAGGAGTTTTGCGGGCAGTTTAAAAAAAAAAAGAAAAAAAAAAATGTGAGGCTGCCAAAAACAAGGCAAAAGGAAGAATAGGGACTATGGTGAACTTGAGAGTGTGTACCTTGCCCAAAGGCACGTAGGTTCATTGCTTAAAGCATAATGCTGGCCATATAAAACATATCTGAGTGCTAGCTTCAATGCTTAGCCTGGTTAGGATGTCAGTGGCCTAGACAAAGTGTTAGTAAGCACTCTCCACAATGGAGAATAATAAGAAGTAACTTGTAAAATGGGTTAGACCTGTCACTGTCTGTGACTGCTAAGACCCTTATCTGTCTTCTCCATTCATCTATGCTTGACATCTCGCTCTTACTAGGAATATAAACATATACCATTTTATTTCACTGGAACATAGACTTAATTGACAAACTGGTTTGCAGAATCAGTTTCAAATCTAGTTACTCATGACAAGAAGTTACTATTTTCTGATGTTTCTTTCCTTAGCTAAAAATTTTAAAATTAAAAGAAAATCTTCATGCTGTACTATTATTGCTTTTGTCTTAGGGTATTTTATAGTAATAATTCCTATGTGTGCATACTGTATTTGTTCAATAATAACATAGTCATTGCCATCTCTCCTATTGCTAACAGACTGCAGATCATTAGTCTCCTGTGTTTAACTGAGAAAAAATATTATTATGAATTGAATGGCATCCCTGCCTTGGCATTTCCAGTTTTCTTGATATTAATTTTTGATATAGGTCAATAGAGACAGGTGGTGGTGAGGTTGAGCTTATCTAACAGTGTGAGATGAAATTATAGTTGCTCCAACACCCTCCTGTCTCTATAAACTGTGATTCTCACCTGTATCTTCTACAGAGAGCAAACAGGATCAGTATCATTGTTAACCCACATGCTATAACTTATTTATTAGGAAAGTCCCTTGAATAGAAGAGCAATCATAATGTCCCAGTGTACAGCATTTTAGACTATTTTTTTCTGATATATAACCAATGATCAATAGCTGAGTATTGATCATCCAACTTTTCCTTCTCTTCAACAAAATTAGTAAGTATAGACTCTGTTAGGTGGCATGCTAGATGCTAAAATTTGTTTTAATTATTTAATATTTCCCTCTCAGTTCATAATACTTAATCATGAGAAAATAAGAGTTTTGTGACATCAAAATGTGATTTTATATAGAGACTGAAAGAGAGAAAAATAATTTTTTTTATCTGAATAAGTGTAAAATTTAACTAGGGATTAAACAGATCATAAAAAATATAGAGATGTGAAATTCTAGAATTGTAGACTATATAGCAGGGAAAAATAAATGCTATTTAGAAAAAGAACTGTTGCATAGCATTGAAGAAACTTTAGGAAGAAGGTAAGACCTGAGCTGGACTTTGAAGAAGTGTAAAATTTTTTTTTAATTTTATTTTATTGTTGTACTTTAAGTGAAAGTTTACAATTCAAGTTAGTCTCTCATACAAAAATTTATACATACATTGTTATGTGACCCTAATTGCTCTCTCTGTACTGTGACGGCACCTTCCTCCTTTCCACCCCTGATTTCCTGTGTCTATTCAACCAGCTTCTGACCCTCTCTGCCTTCTCATCTCACCTCCAAAGTGTAAAATTTTTGAAAGGCCGAAGAGTATTGATTGTAGTGAAAGCATCAAATAACTGATTAATATTAGGAAAAAAAGTTGTGGAAATGCGATTAAATGCTGTGAAGAGGGAAGAAAGAAGATAGAGAATGTGGCAAGAATACTGGATTAATAGGAGAGGTGATCTTTCTAGAAAAGTAATGTGGGGTTAGATTTAGGAAGCTTTGAACATCAGGCAGAAGAAACTTTAATTGATGATGATAGGGAATATTAGCTCGCATATGTTTTTCCGTAGCTATGAGACATAACAAAACCCACATTTACAGATTAGTATCATCAAATAACCAGCATTGTCTTAGTGCTTACTAAGAGCTTCATATATACTAATTCATTTAATCATCACAAACACCTATGAGTATGAGTACTATTAATTTACCCATTTTATAAGCACAAGATGTTAAATCAACTTGCCGACTCCCCTAGCCAGTAGGAGAGGGAATCAGTTTCCAAAATTAGACAAACCAAAGTCAGAGACTAGATGATAACACAGCCTCGCACACTATGCTTCTCTAATAGAAAGAGTTGGAAAGTGAAAAGACTAAAGATGGGGAAACCAAAAAAACTGTGAGTCATATGACCACATTCAATGAAGATTTAAGACCTCATAAAAAGGTCTTTGCATAATCTGCACATTATATAACAAGACGTAATCCTGACTACTGTGGTGGAGTAGGGAGAAAGCAATAAAGCGAGCATACAGAGGAAGAACTGCTGGATGATGAAAAGTAATGGCAGTTTGGATAGAGGAACTAAAGAAGAAGAAAGATAAGAATAAAAATAACTAACTGTAAGATGTCCAGTTGGGTTATTGATAGAAATGTTTACCTCAGGAGAGTGAAACGCAGAAAGTTTTGTAAGTAGTTTGATATGAACATCAGTCTGCATTTCAAAGGTCAGGGCTTGCAGATAAAACTAGGTGGTAGATTTGTTTTTTAGAGAGTTTGAATGTAGAGAGAAAAGAGCAGAGGAGTTACTGTAGGATTTATTCATAATTTAGATGGTAGGAAAAAAAGAAACAATTTTGTAGGAAGAAATACAAATAAACATGTAACTGCTTAGAAGTTAGTAGCAGGCCATCACGCAAAGAAATTGAGAATAAAATATTCTCAAACAGATGAAGGTTTTTCATTTATGAAATACAGAGTTGGAGTCCTATGGTACATCCCAGTTCTAAAAGATGGTACACTTAAACTACCATTTGAAATGGTCTAAAATCCCCCAGAAATTTTATTTTTAACAATTTTTTTTTTGCTGTTTATTTCCAAGAGATGAATTCTATGGGCTTCATAATTTTCATAATGGATTATAGCTGAAATCTTTCTTACCAGTAGTTTTGACCACAGTTCCTAATAGATTTGTGTGGAGCCAGTAGGTTTATGCAATCTTGTTAAATAGACTAAAAATCAGGGGCCTGAAGTGTCACTAATTTAGAAACTGTCAAAGCACTTTTATTAAAGGTCCAAGTTCTGCCACCATTTACATAAGTTAATTTATCATGTAACGTTGGTGACATCACTTAAGTAAAATTTTTAGTGAATAACAGAGGTAATTTTAAACAAATTTCAGTTTTATTTTCCGATGGTATTAACTATAAACACCAAAAAGGGAATTAAAATTTCTTTTTTTTCCCCTATTTATAGACTAATGTCCAATTATACCATCATTTCCTTTCCTTGTTCTTGAAAATAGTCCTGTACTAATTTCTAAGAAATGTTTTCAGATAAAATAAAGCTAAGGTAAATTGAAACAATAATTATTTATTTTTATTAAAATGACTAGACTTTTCAATCAATAATCCATATTTTAATAACATGCTTATATTATTTCTAGGTATGATAAAATAATTTGTACTTTTTATAGTACATAAAAAACTCAAAAAGAAATGCCTGAAGTATTATTTATTAAAGGTGGTAAAATTTGCTTATATTGAGAAGTATGAGATGAAAACATGAAACACTTCAAAACAATATTAAATTAAAATGGTAGTAAAAATTGATTAAAAACATTACCAGTATTTGCATATTATTGCAATAATATATGTCACTTTAAAACAATGTTTCAAGAAATAGCAGGTTCGTGTATATATAATTTTCTTCTTCCAGCCCAATTTAATATCAGCGTAGTTTATCTCTCATGCAAAATACAAAATCTCCCATTTTAGGTTTTTATATGAATTCTTGGAGTCTAATTTCCTGGGTGTGAGAAGCATATTAAAGTTTACTACTCCAATCTGTTTTACTAAATTTTATTCTGGTTTTTAACTGATGGCTTGGTAATCTGAGACTAAAGTTAGTTTTCTGCCTCTCAGAGCAACTATTGCTAAGGTACTAATTCATTCTCTCTCTCTCTCATTCTCATTCACTAAGAACACGCATGTGTAAACACATGAGGAAAATTTTGAACATAGCAAAATCGTTCTGTTTAGGACCAGTTCTGAGAGAATTGTGGTGGAAGTGGGGAGGAGAAGGAATGGAGGCTATTTTCAATATATTGTCAAAACTCTATGCTTCTGCTTTTTAAGGAAGTTTTTATTTTTCCGGAGCGAACATAAATATAAAAATGACTGAATAGTAGAAAAAGAAGTGTCATATGATATTGCACGAGTAATTGCTATATGACTGTTTTAAGCAGTAAATACTATGAACTAAGCAGTTAGAGATCTGGCAAGCAAAAGATAATAGCATTCTCCCTTTAAAGAAAAAACGGTATTTGCATAGCAATAGTACCTAACATTTGTTGAATACCTACTATGTGCTAACACTGTTCTAAGGGTTTGCCTTTATTAATTGCATAACAACCTATGAGAATATATTCATTAAACCATATAAAATTGCCAATATTCAACATTTTTGACTTTCAGAAATACTAATTTCAAATGGTTCAACCTAATGCTATTATTTTATCCCCATTTTACAGATGAGGAAGTGAGGCACAAAGAAATAATCTTCCCAAATACAAATAGTTAGCAAGTGACGGAACTGAGGTTCAAATTCATTGCATCCAGTTTTGTTGTTAACCACTTCACCCTGTGTTTTCAGGGAAGAAGCCACTGCACTTGCTTAGGGAGGGAGTAGGGTCAGGGAATAGAACTCGCAGATTAAAATGTGCTACACATGATTCTGTCTCTTGTACTTTATAACGTTCTTGAGAAATGGGGCAGTATCATGTCTGCATTTGTACTCTGCCTATCCTACACATTTTAATAATTACACTAAAGTTGCCAGTCATGTAGATGAATACTGTTCTCAGTAATCAAGTGCGCATGTGACCGACTATATAGCAATTACTATCCCAAACATCTGCTTTCAGGTTAAACCAGGAGAACAGGAGTTTCAAGGTTGATGGCTTTCAATCCAGCTGGAGATCATACTGTGTGAGAGTCAGTAGGTTAAGATCCAGCCTCTGCTGGGATTGTGTAGTCAGGAAGAGATACTGATACACACATCAGACAAGTGAGGAGATCTTAAATTATATTACTTTCTCTGTGCACATAATTATCAGCCCTGTACTCCAAATTTAGTGAAAGATTTGCAAAACAGGGTAGATAGTCCGAATCTAAATTAAAATCAAGCCCTTTTAAATTGGCAAAGGACATAAAATCTCTTTCACCTTTTAAAATCAGAGGAACTTGTGACATATTTAGTCATGGCACTGAAGGAGTGGCTATAAAATTTTCTAGTACATATAGTGGTATTAGCGTCAGAAAAATTGCATTCCTATTTTGACTACATTTTTCTGTCTGTCCCTGAGCAAATCATGGTGCCATGGAAACAATACAAGGTGGGAGTCAAAGGACCTGCCTTCTCCATAAAAACAAATAAACAAACAAAAAACCATTGCCATGGAATTGACTCCTACTCACAGGGGCCCTATAGGACAGAGTAGAACGTCCCTCTTGGGTTTCCAAGGCTCTGAGCTTTATGGAAGCAGACTGCCACATCTTTCCTTTCTCCTGTGAAGCAGCTGTTGGGTTTGAACTTCCGACCTTTTGGTTAGCAGCTAAGCACTCTAACCTTTGTGCCACCAGGGCTCCTGCCTTCTCCATATCAGCTATAAATTGTCTTGTAACATTGAATCAGACATTTATTTTCTCTAGGATCCATTTTTACCTCTGAAAAAAATGAATGAGATTAAATGGTGCTAACTCTAACAGTTCATAATTTTAATTCAATTTATTCATTTCAATATTTTTATATTTCAACTTTTCCATTTGTTAAAATGTCTCCAGATAAAAAAATAAGTCAAAGTGACCTTGATCTTTAAAAAAAAAGTATGATACATTTGCATTGTCTTTTGCTATTTAGATGCACAGACATGAGAGTTAGTAGATATTCTGTCTGCTAAGCACAAACTGTTACAGTTCTTTTTTAATTCCATAAGAAGTTACTGAGTTCCTTTTATTAAGAACTAATATACAATATGTGCCTTGAGAGGTACATACATGATAAATAATAGAGGCCTTAACATGCTTATAGTGTCAGAGTATTATTGTGTGGTATGTGTGTATATTCATGTGTATTTTCCCTCTTTAAAATCCCTTTAAAGGATAAATTAACATAGTTTTCAGCTTCAACAGCCTCATTAAAAAGAGGAGTATAAGGGAATTTTACATTTAGAAGAATAGCCATAATACTTGAATTGTCTAAATGGAACTTTGCCTTAATATTGGGCTTGTTAATGTGGAAGTAAGATTTTCGGGAGCAAATAAAAAATGGTTCAATGACAGTTGGCTGTAAAAAAGCAATAGAGATTCTGTCATCACTTTAGCAACTCCAGTTTATCCAGTGTAAATGGATTGCAACAGCACAGAGTTTCATTATTGCATTATAATTTGGCACCTAGTTCTAGAAGCAATTCCCTTAAACTCAGCATTAAGCAATAAGTAAAATATCCTGAAGATGTGAAACTTAATTTGACTTGTACCAACAAAGTGCAGAGGGTGAAGGAGGGTGGCAGGAAAGAAAACGCAGCACTAGTATGGTATAAAAGAGTACTAGTCTATAAGGGTCAAAGACTAGATTCTCATCATGATTCTGCTACTGTTTGCTTGTGTTACCCCTGAACTAGGCACCTGGTTTCTCAGAGCCTCTGTGTCTTATACTAGAAAGTGTGATAATGTTCAATGTTCTTTCCTGATACATCATTCTGTGAATTGATGCTTCCAGGTGAAGGAAACAAAGAGTTCACCTTGTTTTTGTATTCATGGGTCACTTTAGGTTCATTTTCTGTGAAATAGTTTTCTTCCTTTTTCCTCTAGCACACTAAGATAACTTGGAGCTCTCCATCTTGGGCATTCTTCCCAGGGTATTTAGTAGGAAATGCTGCCTAGTACAAAATCATCTTTGTTTTCACTAGTTACTATAGCTTCACAGGCTCCCAATTCAGAGAATAAAGCAGTGGAAGGAAACTGTGAGAGCATCTGTGATAATTCTCTCGTATCATCACTAATGAAATTGACCCAGAGGAGTCTGGTGACTTTCTACTCTGTCCTACAGCTCCTAAATCTAGAAGCAAGTTTTCTAATCTAGGATTTTCTGATTCTGTCACTGATTTTTTTTTTCCTGCTTATCCATCTTTAGTACAAGGGGCGTCAGTGATTTTTAGTGGATTCCACAAAGTGATAATAGGACAACTTTCCTTATTTTGTCTTTCTCTTAAAAATAGTAGCACAATGTGATAGAATTAGAATGGTAATTTTTGAAAACATGTATTATTAGGGTACTGCAAATAAATTGACGGGTATAAAAGCCATATTCAGCAAAATTTTGAAGGGAAAAGTCAAATTGTATTTTTCATGCAAAAGCGTTTATTTTCTTAATTTAATAAATGTGAGGCAACATCCCCTAAATTGTCCAACCTTTGAAGAAAAGGGAAAAGCTTCCAATACCCTAGATTTTTCTCTGTTTTTCTGCCTCACCTGATCATTCCAACTCACTTAGGGACAGAAGAGAATTTAATATTCAACCCGATAAGAACTTTTGGGAACAGCTTTAATAAAATTTACTTAACAAATGTAGTTACCAACTGTTGAAATATTGACATAGGGTCACTCTAAAACTTGCTAATGGTTTGTCTTAGTAAATCAACAGACATGTCTGCAATTATTATAGACTTATTCTTTATTGCATAAGGTTAACTAAAATATGTTCCTACAATAATTTGTTGAAAACATTTCTGGCGCAAGTGTGTGGCAAGGTTGCAAAGCTTTTTATGAAGAAGATACCTGAGCTTGGCCCTTTTATTTTGGCTAACTGAAGGTTATAAACAAACTCTCAGAAATGCCTGTATTTACTACAGAGAAATAATCCAGACTTTGTTTTCTTTTTCATAGGAAGCTGTTCTTGAAGAAGGTACAATTGCTTTTAAAAATTGGGTTAAAACAGGCACTGAAGTTTACAGACAGTTTTGGATCTTTGATGTGCAAAATCCAGAGGAAGTGGTAGTTAACAGCAGCAACATTAAGGTTAAGCAAAGAGGTCCTTACACATACAGGTGAGTGAGTCCCCACAGCTAAGAGGCACTCTTTTCTTGACTACGTGTATTTCTGCAAATGCTTCCGTTTGATGACTGCCATTTTACTGGAATGTACTTACCATTATATTGCCTATAATATATATTAAGGAGCTCTGGTGGTACAGTGGTTAAGAGCTCGGCTGCTACCCAAAAGGCTGGTAGTTTGAATCCACCAGCTGCTCCTTGGAAACCCTATGGAGCAGTTCTACTCTGTCACCATAAGTCTGCATGGACTCACGGCAACGAGTTTTTTTTTTTTTAAGTGTACATTAAAATGATTTTTCCTACCTGCGTAGAATCCTGATTTAAAGATTAAATTATTATAAGTTGTTTCATATTTTGAATTAATTAATAGCATTATATGTATATGTGTGTGTACATTATATGGAGCCCTGGTGGTACAGTGGTTAAGAGCTCGGCTGCTAACCAAAAAAAGTCGGCAGTTCAAATCCACCAGCCGCTCCCTGGAAACCCTATGGGGCAGTTCTGCTCTGTTCTGTAAGGTCGCTAGAGTCAAAATCGACTCGACAGTAACGGGTTTGGTTTTTTTGTTTTATGTATCTATCTATATATGTATGTATGAATCTATCTATGAACTAAAGGTAGAGTTAATTATCCACATATTCATTGTCAGTGGACAATGTATAGAAAAGGAATATGAATTTTATTATAAATCTACCAGCATCAAATAACTGTCTGACTTTTAAGAAGTAACAGATTTTTTCACTTGTGGCATATGTTGCCACATATCCATGACTTTGCCAAAGAAGGCTTGGTCTTCACTGTTACAAAAAAAGTCATACCTTGGCACATATTTTAATTTTTTTATGGTGTTGTATTTCTTAAGTTATTAGCAAAGCCTATGTGAACATCTTGTTCTAAAAGAATATTGCAGCTGTGATCTGTGCCTATGAAAATTTAGAATTTAGATGACAGACTAAGCATAATTGTTCAAAACTCATAACCTGAGACAAGTGAATAATTAGAAGGAAAGACAAGGTTTACTCAAATTGGAGACCTCATCTTTTGTTTTGTTGTTTGTTTAGAGAGGATTTATGTATTTCACTTATAAGAACATTATTTGTGAGATGGGGAAATATATGTATATGTATATATATATATACACATACACATACATATACATGCATGTGTGTATGTATATATATAGCCCTGGTAGTGCAGTGGTTAAGAGTTCAGCTGCTAACCAAAAAGGTCAGCAGTTCAAATCTACCAGCTGCTCCTTGGAAACCCTGGGAGGCAATTCTCCTCTGTCCCATAGGGTCACTATGAGTCAGAATCGACTTGACTGCAGTGGGTTTGGTTTTGTTTTTTGTTATATATATATATATATATATATATGTGTGTGTATATAGAGATATATGTACATATATATTATAAAGAGAGAGAGAGAAAGAGAGAGAGAGGTCTATACATGAATTTATATATATATATAATTATTGGTATCAGGGAAGGACTATATATATATATATATAATCGTTGGACCTAGTCCTCCCCAATACCAATAATTTTCATACAGAAGATCCGAAACCAAACCAAACCCGTTGCCATTGAGTCAATTCCAACTCATACACAAGATAGCTGGTGGTAAATATAAATTATATTCTTAGAGCCTTCAAACATATCTCTCTAAGGGACAAAAAAATGTGGAGTGGAGTGTGGATAATACTTGATTTGCTTGGAGAGGACATCAGGGTGTTGAGAAAAAGAGTTGAATTTACAGCTAAAGTTTATAAACAATTACCTACTGCTTATATAACAATTATTAAAGGACTTTCTGATCCACAAAAGGTCGTTTTGTCCCATAATGGAACCACAATGGAGTCTTTGTCTCTGCCCGGATGCCTTAAATAAGGGAAAACAAACAACTAGTTACCTTTTAGAAAAAAATTAATAGCTTGAGCATCTTCCATGTATTGAGCTGAAACTGCTTCCCCATAAATTAAACCCCGAATCCTACTGAAATTGGAAATGTAGGAGGATTTCCCTCCTCACACACAACCACAGGTTTATTTGGTCCATGGCTGCTAATGTGAGTTCAAAAAAACTTTGATTGATAAAGTAGTGACTTGGGTGAAAGCAAGAAATTGCCTAGATTGAGATTGTGATTATATTCCAGATTACTTCATCTCTGTGAAGAGTCTATATCTTTGGAATATTCTTATATGCAACATAACTCAAATTTTTAAGTTACTTTGTTCTGGCAGGAATACACAGAAAGAAATCTTAGGCAAAATCTAGGGTGAATTCCTTCCCATGACCCTATGAACCAAACCTTTCCCAAACTTGCATACAATCTTTATTTTTTTTTAAATAATGTAATTATGTTGTCCTTTTAAAAGTTCATTCTAAACAGAGGCCTCTTTCAAGGATTTTCTCTTAATGAGTGCCATCTACTGATACAATATTGTAAGTGCAATTTAAGTAAGCTTTAGAATTTGGAACACAATTATTTTGCTCTTGTTTCAAGTTTTACATATACATATCTGTCCCTGAAAATTAAGGTACCCCAATTTGAAATGCTAATAATATATAATCTGATTTTAAAATTCAGTTATTGGAGAGAAAATGCATTACTGGTAAATCATTGCCCTGTGTGCTATTTCAGTGAAGTTATAATATTCTTTGTATTTCTCTAGGACTCCAGGGAGAATAAATAATAAAAAAATTGATGGAATTATATTAAAAACAAAATATCTGCCTAGCTGATGTGGAATTCTTATCTTTTTTTTTTTAAGAATATGAACTATTAATTAATTTATTCATTCAAAATATTTTTTAAGAACTCACTGTTTACCAGATACTGTGTTTGGAGATACAAAACACTCATGATCCTAAACCTACAGAAATTCACACTTATTACAGTTGAGTGAAATGTACTTTTTTCAATTTCAGTACTATTTTTCTCCAGTTTTTACACCTAGTTATCTATTCACCTCACATACTAGACATTCAAATATATAATAGTGTGATGATGCCTCGTTTAGCCTCAATGCATATTCTGTACTTGAAAAATAATTTCCTTCATAATCATCACACTTTACCACATTCCTAAAGTATAGTCTGCAGCCTAGAGGTGTTAGATCCAGGAGCTAATAAGTATTTTGCTCAACATATAGGGAAAAAGTTGGTCTGTACCCCTTAAAATGGAAATTATATTCCTTTAAAACAAACAAACAAACAAACAAAAAAATTGTTGCCGTTGAGTCAATTCTGACTCAAAGCAACCCTATAGGATAAAGTAGAACTGCCCCGTAGGGTTTCCAAGCAGCGGCTGGTGGATCGAACTGGTGACCTTTTTGTTAGCAGCCAAATACTTAACGATATCTTTAATTCTCATTAAGGTCCTTTAAAAGATGGAAAAGCCAGTGCTGGACAGGCCGTGGACTATTTGTATGTTCTTTCTAAATTAGAAATTGTGCTGTTTAATATTTCCCCTCTTAAACCTTTCTACTGTCTCCTTACCCTCACGATAAAGTCTAAACATTTGATTAAGGGATACAACCCTTTTGTGTTTGAGATCCTGCTTTTGTCAGTGGTTTTCCACATTCCCTAGTCTAACCATATAATCCAGCCAAATTTAACCATTTGCATTTCTCAAAATACACCATGTTCTGTTTCACTTCTTATCTTGTATACGTTACTCCTTACCCTACTTCATCTAACTAAACTTCTATCTGTCATTCACTTAAGTGGAATTTCTACCCATATGTGTCTTGACTCTCACCCTCACCATGACCACCCCAAGCCTGGATTTGTATCTATTTTGTTTACCCATGGAGTCTGTGCAAACTCCTAGCATAACACATATCATTTCCCTGCTATTCCAATTTCCTGCTTGCAAGTTTAAGACCTCTACTCATTTATCTGGTCGAGACCCAGCGCTGGTTTATTTATCATTTTAACACCATTTTTAGCATAATTTATTGTATATTCTATGTACTAAAATATATTTGTGGAATGAATGAATGGCTATGTGACTTAATAATCACATGAGACTATTTTTTAAAAAATTTTATTTATTTCTGCTTTTCAGAGTTCGTTATCTAGCCAAGAATAATATAACTCATGACCCTCAAAGCCACACAGTCTCTTTTTTACAACCCAATGCTGCCGTGTTTGAACCTTCACTGTCAGTTGGATCAGAGAATGACAGTTTCACAGTTATCAATCTGGCTGTTGCAGTGAGTAGACAAACAAAAAAATTATTTGCTTTAAAATACTCTAGAACCTGAAATAATCATTATTAGAACTATATATTTTATTTATTTTGCCATTTTTTATGAAATGAGTTCTTATGTAGTTATTGTGAATGGATTTATGATCATCTGGAAAGATGGCAAAGTCATTTAATAATCAACTGAATTAAAAGGCCACAAAAAGTGTACCATTTTAAAAAAGGGGTAGGGGGGTGACCTAACTTGGCATGTCTTCTTCATGTGGCTGTCTCTTAGGCAGAGAAATGTAATCTGTGGATTAGACTGATTACACTTTTTAGTCCTGTCCAGATTTGGCAATAATTTTAAAGATACAATTAAAGAATTCCTTACTAAACTCAATTCTAATATTTAGTCTATTTATTTAGTAAAATCTGATATTGCATTGGTGTCTTAAACAGTGATTTTTTTTTTCTTTGGGGGGTAGGCCGCACCCCACATCTATCAAAACGCATTTGTTCAGACGATACTCAATTCACTTATCAAAAAGTCAAAATCTTCTATGTTCCAAACCAGAACTGTGAAGGAGCTGTTGTGGGGCTACAAGGATCCATTCTTGAGTTTGGTTCCGTATCCTATTAACACTACTGTTGGTGTATTTTTTCCTGTAAGTAGCAAATACGAATGGTAATATTGCTGTGTTTTAATTGGATAAATACAATAGCATTGGCAAGGCATGGTTTTCTAATTTAGTGTATTAAGCCTTTTGCTGATCTGGGAATATATTTCTTAATTTTAAAAAAAGTCCCCATATCACATAACTTCAACTTTCCTAGTAGGGAAAATTTACTTGTATGAATTTAAATATTAATTTTTAAATTAATAAACTGAGATTTAAACAGATTCTGCTCTGCCTTCTATAAATATGAAATTTGTCTAAAATTAACTTATAAAACTATTTTTGGTTTTTATTTCCTTTCTCATAAAATCAAGTTCAATAACAACTTTTAGTGTAGTAATGTATTCACATTGTAATTCTTTCTCTAGGCCTCTTATAATTTTTTAATTTAAATTAAAACTTTAGCCTAAATTTGCACATCTCAATCAGATTTTTGAGTTAGCCTGCCATACTTTAATACCATTTGTGAATAAGAACTTCAAGTGGTCCACAAAGGCCATGAGATGGCAATTTGGGGATTAAGGAAAATGTGAATTTGTGGTGTATTTAGTTATTATTATTGTTCCAAATTAAAAATAGAATAAGCTGACTATTGAGTTGGAATTTTTACTTTAATTTCATTTGGCACCATATGTGATATTAGTTATATGTTCCTGTTTATTGCTATTATTTTACTTTTAAACAGTGCTTTGGATTGCAAGGTTATATATCAATTGAAATATGAATGTAGAAATGCTTAAGGGATCAGAGATTTATTTATTATTATTATTTTAGCTTAAATACTCATTAATTCTTTCCCTGACTTGGCTAATTCTGTTTTTAACTTTGTGTACCTCATCTTTTTCAGTTTAGCACCCACTTATTACAGATCAATCATGTTTAGAATACCTTTAGAAATTGTTGTCCCCATAGGTTTTGTTCAATGTCCTCTCATTTCAGTATAATAAGAGTAATGATCAAAATCCCCTCACTGGCTTAATTATGACAAAGAGTGCTGGAGTTTGATCATGTTGACTTCTGGTATTTTATTGCCTTGCTTGGTCTTAGCATTTAGCATTTGTTTCTAGGCACCTTTTATAGTCTATCCTTTAAATTTTTTAAAGACTAATAATTTTAAAATCTCAATTACATATACATTTCAAATCATACAAGAATAACTAGTGTTTGAGAAAAGTGAAAGTGAGTTACACATTTTATAACTTGGAAATATGACTTGTTCTAGAAATATTTTTTCTTGTTCCTGTCTTTTCAGTACAACAATACTGCAGATGGAGTTTATAAAGTTTTTAATGGAAAAGATGACATAAGCAAAGTTGCCATAATTGACACTTATAAAGGTAAAAAGTAAGTATCCAGGTAAACTCTGTGTGTGTGTGTGTGTGTGTGTGTGTGTGTGTGTGTGTTAGTTACTGCAGTTCTCTAAGGCAGGAGTGGTATTCATTTAACTACCGGTAAGACACAGTCGCCAACCTATGGAACACTCCTGACTCTATCTTAGCCCCCTGGAAATGTCTATTGTGCCGGGTATTAACACTTATTTATGACAACTAGCATGGCCACACCAGTGCGTAGCTGCTAAATATCAGTCCTACTTTAGGGTTTACTTCACCTTTTATGCATGGGCTCTCTTACATAAAGAAATTCAAAGGAACCATTCCCAGTTCCACTACATATCCAGCACGTACACATCACCCATACCAGTATATAAACACAAATGAAAAGGAAGAAGATCAATGCATCAACTAATTGTTTGGCATTAGGTAGAAAAATACATCTTACTGTGTTTTTCTTTTTTTATTTGCTTTTTAAAAATTTAGCATATGAAATAAACATTGTGTATTCCAGTGTCATAGCCTAAATATCTCTAAAAATGAAGTTCAGTGAATCTGTGCAATTCTTCTCATGACCTTTCCCCTGCAAAACTGTATTGAAATATTTTTCTGTATTAATAACTCAGCTTTTTTAACTTTTATCAAGGCAAAAATGCAGTTAGTACTTCCATACAATTCTAAAACTTACATATAACCCTAAAAATGAAAAGCATACCTCCTTTGAAGCGGTAAAAGAATGAGCTATCTTTGTATAGCCATGTTTTCCATTCTTTTCATAGCTCCTGTCTGTTCATCTGAGGATACATAATTTAGCATGTGTGTAAAATAGAAAGAACTACAGTGGGGAAGGACATCATTTCTACTCTTTACGATTAATACCCCACTCGTCTGTCAGTTTGTTGTACTGTGATGGCTAGCATGTTGCTGTGATAATGGAAGCTATGCCATCGGAATTTCAAATACCAGCCAGAGTCACCCATGGTGGGTAGGTTTCAATGGAGCTTCTAGAATACAACAGAATAGGAAAAAGGACCTAGTGGTCTACTTCTGACAAAACTAGCAAGTAAAAACCTCATGAATAACAGCAGAACATTGTCTGATACGGTGCCAGAAGATAAGCCCCTCAGGAATAGATTTGACTCAACAGAACACTAATGACCAGAGACGAGATGAGTTGTGGAATGACATCAAGGACATCATACATAAAGAAAAACTTCATTAAAAAGACAGGAAAGAAAGAAAAGACCAAAATGGATGTCAGAAGAGATTCTGAAACTTGCTTTTCAACGTAGAATAGCTAAAGCGAACAGAAGAAATGATGAAGTAAAAAAGCTGAACTGAAGATTTCAAAAGGCGGCTCAAGAAGACAAAGCAAACTATTATAAAGAAATGTGCAAAGACCTGGAGTCAGAAAACCAAAAGAGAAGAATATGTTTGGCATTTCTCAAGGTGAAAGAACTGAAGAAAAAATTCCAGCCTCCAGTTGCAATATTGAAGGATTCTACAGGGAAAATATTGAATGACACAGGAAGCATCAAAAGAAGATGGAAGGAATACACAGAGTCACTGTACCAAAAAGAATTGGTTGATATTCAGCAACTTTAGGAGACAGCATATGATCAAGAACTGATGGTACTGAAGGAAAAAGTCCAAGCTGCACTGAAGGCATTGGTGACAAACAAGGATCCAGGAATTGATGGAATACCAACTGAGATGTATCAACAAATGGATGCAGTGCTGGGGATGCTCACACGTCTATGCCAAGAAGTTTGGAAGACAGCTACCTGACTAAGTGACTGGAAGAGATCCATATTTGTGCCCATTCCAAATAAAGGTGATCCAACAGAATGTGGAAATTAGTGAACAATATCATACACAAGTTTTTGCTGAAGATCATTCAAAAGTGGTTGCAGCAGTACTTTAACAGGAAACTGCCAGATATTCAAGCTAGATTCAGAAGAGGGTGTGGAATGAGGGATATCATTACTGATGTCAGATGGATCTTGGCTGAAAGCAGAGAATACCAGAAAGATGTTTACCTGTGTTTTATTGACTATGCAAAAGCATTTGACTGTATGGATCATAACAAATCAGGATAACACTGCAAAGAATGGGAATTCCAGAACAACTTAATTGTGCTTATGCGGAACCTGTACGTAGAACAAGATGCAGTCATT